AAAGATGACATAATTTCTTTGCGTAGTATGGTAGATTTGTGGGTAGATCGTGCGGGAATCCAATAAGATTTAAGTGATGAAACTTGAAACATGGATAATAGCATAGGAGAAGCTAGTTGAGATGGTTTTATTTCTAAAATCCATCATGAAGGACAATATCGAGGGATTGGGTGGCAGGATGTTTTGCCAGGTTAAAGCTGTGTAGAGTCGGACAGATAGGAAGGTTTTTGTTTTTGTTGCTTCTGTTTTCCCGAAATTTTCATCCACTTTTGCTGCATGTTATATCCACTTGTCGATGCTCATTATCTGTACAGCTTTGCTATATGTTATTTTCACTGGTCGGCATTTATCATCTGTTCATGGAACTATGCTTGATGACGAGATCTGTTCTCAAACTGGCATTTTGATCTTCTAGATTTTGTTATATGCGTATCAGAATGACTAATTTCTTTCTTTTTTCTTCCTTTTCTTTTATTATTATCCAAACTGCAGGAGGAGCCCTATATCAATCGCAGCAGCAGTTATTTACATTATAACCCAGCTTTCGGATGATAAAAAGCCTCTCAAAGGTTCCTATCCCCTTGGTTTCTAAAGCTTTTAGGAATTCAATAATGTTTGAGTTCTCTGAGACGTAGTGCACGGTTTCATTTAGCAGAAGTTTAGGTTTTTCATTTAGCAGAAGTTTAGGTTTTTCATTGAGGGGCTTTTGAAAATATCATTTAATCATTTTATAATATAATTACGGATTAATTCCATAAATGCCCCTTAAACTTTTACCCTAACTCAGCATGCTCCCTGAAGTTTGAAAAGCATTCACACCACCCCTGAAGCATGTAAACTTCTTCAAAATACCCCCTGAACTAATGTTATTTCATAAATGCCCCGTGAACTATATATTTTCTGTCAACTTGCCCCCGAATCTTTTAATAAATCGGGAGGAAAGTTTTTTAAAGTAAAAATTCAAGGGATAAGTTGACTTAAAATCAGTAGTTTAAGGGGTATTTATAAAATTGTAAGTAGTGCCACATCATTATTAGTATTACAAACGTATAGGGTATTTTGAAATAGGTTGCATAGTTTAGAGGGTGAAACAAGCCATTTTAAAACTTCAGAGGCATGTTAAAATAGAGTACAAAATTTGAGGGTATTTATGAAATTAATAAAATTAAATGTTGATATTATAAAGATTACGTTAGACGATTCAAACTTTTTCGACATGTGTAGAACTGTAAAATATGACATGAAAGGGCTTTTACAAATCATAAAATTCAATTCCACACCTTTTGATTTAAGGAAAACATTGACTGCAGATATCTCCGTTGCCACTGGGGTGGCAGAAGGAACAATCAGAAACTCCTACAAGGATCTTTATCCTCATGTATCCAAGATTATTCCAAACTGGTATGCAAAAGAAGAGGATCTCAAGAACCTCTGCAGCCCTTGAATTGTAGACCAAAACCAAAAAAAAAAAAGAAAAAAAAAAGGAAAAAAAAAAAAAGAGCCGGAACATACAGAGGATTCAGAATAGTTTTTCGAGGCTTTTCTGTTGAATTATATTAAAACTGTTCAACACAACGGTGCCAAAATGTCTATTGCATCTTCATAGTTCCCTTTATTGTGTTCATTTCAATAGTAATTTAACAGCAGTTTCATTTCAATATGTGCTTGAACTAGCAAATAATAATTCAATACATTTATTTTTAGCTGATGCAACTGGTGTAGATATTTTATATTTTTAGGGTATATGGTTCTGTTTCCTGAATTGGCAAAAGCTGCTTTCCTTTCAAAATTTTTACTTTTGTCAAAATTATCTATGAATTAGAAACTAGAAAGTGTTACGAGTGTTCCCATTGATGACGGTTAAAATCTAGACAGAAAAGCCATCACGTGTATCACATTACATTTAATCGATGATAAGAACTGGTTTGCTTAATCATAGTATTATTTTAATTTTCTTGCTCTTTCTCAACTTTTGTGTTTATGTAAATGTTTTAGTTTATTATTTTTTGAAAGGTTAACTACGACTCTACAATATTTAAATTCAAATTAATAATAAAAAGTAGAATATTAGAGATTAAAGAAAGCATGAAAGAAAATGTAACAGAGATATTCTCTTAACCATTAGAACTGTCTATTTACCACGGTAATAAGATTTTTTTTTACTTAATCTTTGTTTTATTTTAATTTTTCCTTTCAGAAATTCAATAACTATTAGAATTGTTCGTTTATTATGGTAACAACTATTTTTAATAAACCAATAAGAGTTGTTACTTAATCATAATATTATTTTAGTTTACCTACCCTTTTTCAAGTTTCATACTTGTATAAGTTTGACTACTTTATTATACTGTTTTTGAAAGGTTAACTATGACTCTACATTGTTTAGATCCAATTAATGCTAAAGGTAGATTAGAGATTAAAAAAAAAAAAAAAATAGAGAGAATGTAATAGAGAGATATTTCTAACAATTAGAATCTTCTATTTATCACGGTAACAAATTTCATTAACAGGGCAATAAGATTTGTTACTTAATATTTATTTTGTTTCAATTTTCCTTTTGAGAAATTCCTCAAACAATTAGAATTGTCCTGCTAACAACTATATGTAATACAACAATAAGAATAGTGGCTCTAATACCACAACTGTAACACCCCCTATCGGAGGTGTCGCAGGATTCTTTTACATCTCTAAATTATGCGAAAAATAATCATTTATATAATATAAGTAAAACTCGTTAGAATAATCTCAAAAGTGAAATAAATTTTCTTTTGAAAAACTAACATAATAGGCGGTCTTTTCTTAAATAAAACTCAACAGTAAATAAATTTTTCGAAACTGAAATAAAGGAAACTTAACTCTTTTAAATTATCTCAAAATAATCCAAACATAAAATCTTTCAAAAGAAGCACAAATAGAAACTCTTAAATTAAGTGCCGTATAATAATTAAAACTTATTAAAGAAAAAATTGAAAAAAGTAATAATATAATGCACAAGAAATAATACGACACCTAAAAATTTATTAAAGAAAAGTTTTCTAAATAATAATTAAAACTTGTTTTAGTCATTTTTTAATTGGTAGCAATTTTTAAAAATAAAAAAAATGAGATAATGCATAAGCAATAATACAACACCAAAAGTTTAATTTTAGAAAAATTATCTATATAATAATTAAAATTTCTTGTAGGTTTTTTTTTTTAATTAGGTAGCTTTTTTAAAAAAACTTTTTTGAAAGTGTTTTTTTTTTTACTTACTTTTGTTACTGGCTAATAATGCCAATTAAAAATTTTGAAACACTCATTACTGCAGGTTAAAAATAGTAAACGGCCACTCAATACACAAACAGGGGCATCATTTGTCCTCAAGAGAGAATGCCAAATCAGTCCTGTGGGCCCACTAAATAAAAGCCAGAATTGTGGAGTTGGTTTATACTGTTTAAGATTGATTTGAATGTTGAATTGCGGGTGGGGTTAAATTAAGAGTTGGTTTAGTTAGTTGATTTGAGTTTTTAATTTGAATTGAAATGTGATTTGATATGAGAGTTTTTTATTATAATAAAAAAATTAAATATAATTATTTTTAAAAATTTTTTTACTATAATAAAACTTAAATTATAAACTCGTATCAGTAAAATAAACGAGGCTTAATTTGATCGGTTTCAGCTCAAACTGTATAAGCCATTCAATTGCAATTAATACTCTTACCAAACCACCAACTGCAAAACGCAATAATTGGGCTGAATTGCCCAACCAAACACATGGTAAATGTTCCAAAAACTCTTTCTATTATGGCAACCTGTGTCCGAACACCTGTCTATCAATATTTTAATCATAACTATTTACGATGATATCGGAATTGAGTGATTTAAATAGTGTTGGAAAGATAACAAAAGGATCTACAACTTTGTGTGAAATATAAGTTTTCCTAAGGAAGCTTTTGGGATGGATTGATAAACTAACATAGTATTAGAGTGGGAGGTCCTGAGTTTAAACTCCTGTAATTGTACTCTTTATCTCCATTTAAAATTATCATGTGTTGGGTCTTTAATATCTCAGGCTTAAATATTCACGTGTTGGGCTTTCCAATTAATTTACCCACACGATTGCCCATTGTCCAACCCACACGTGAGGGGGAGTGTTAAAGTATAAAACTATTGTTGGCCCACCTCCTAATACAATATGAAAAGCTTAAGAAAGTATATAGGTCAATTTTTAGTTATAAAAATTAATAGGTCATAACTTGTCAAGTTATGGTTCATAACCAGATAAGTTATAGACAAACTTGTCAAGTTATGGTTCATAACCAGACAAGTTATGGACAATTATGGACAATAACTTGTTAAGTTATGGTTCATAATCAGACAAGTTATGAATGAAAATAGTAATTTAGCCTATTTATTAACTTATGTAAACTATTGACCTATTAATTTTAATTCATCTCAAATCTTGACATATTTTTCTCTTTCTCCCTTTTCCTAATTCAAATGTTTTCAAGATCAAAAAGAGCATTGAAAGTAACGTCACATTACTATCATATAAGAATAAACTACATGAATCAATTGAGAAAAAAAATAAAGAAAGAAAACCCCCCTAAAGCAATAGAAGGATTGTGGAAGTTCAAGTTATTATTCTTAAAAAAAAGGGGTTAAAAATAATGTATCTATATGTCCTTTTTTAAAGAAAAATTATCTATATAATAATTAAAATTTCTTGTAGGTTTTTTTTTTTTAATTAGGTAGCTTTTTTAAAAAAACTTTTTTGAAAGTGTTTTTTTTTTTACTTACTTTTGTTACTGGCTAATAATGCCAATTAAAAATTTTGAAACACTCATTACTGCAGGTTAAAAATAGTAAACGGCCACTCAATACACAAACAGGGGCATCATTTGTCCTCAAGAGAGAATGCCAAATCAGTCCTGTGGGCCCACTAAATAAAAGCCAGAATTGTGGAGTTGGTTTATACTGTTTAAGATTGATTTGAATGTTGAATTGCGGGTGGGGTTAAATTAAGAGTTGGTTTAGTTAGTTGATTTGAGTTTTTAATTTGAATTGAAATGTGATTTTATATGAGAGTTTTTTATTATAGTAAAAAAGTTAAATATAATTATTTTTAAAATTTTTTTTACTATAATAATATTTAAATTATAAACTCGTATCAGTAAAATAAACTATGCTTAATTTGATCGGTTTCAGCTCAAACTGTATAAGCCATTCAATTGCAATTAATACTCTTACCAAACCACCAACTGCAAAACGCAATAATTGGGCTGAATTGCCCAACCAAACACATGGTAAATGTTCCAAAAACTCTTTCTATTATGGCAACCTGTGTCCGAACACCTGTCTATCAATATTTTAATCATAACTATTTACGATGATATCGGAATTGAGTGATTTAAATAGTGTTGGAAAGATAACAAAAGGATCTACAACTTTGTGTGAAATATAAGTTTTCTTTAAGGAAAATAATAGAAAATATGCTAATATAAAAAGTTTAAGGAAGTATATAAATTAATTTTTAATTATAAAAATTAATAAGTGATAACTTGTTAAGTTATGATTCATAACCAGATAAGTTATGGACAAACTTGTCAAGTTATGGTTCATAATCAGACAAGTTATGGACAATTATGGATAATAACTTGTTAAGTTATGGTTCATAATCAGACAAGTTATAGACGAAAACAGTAATTTAGCCTATTTATTAACTTATGTAAACTATTGACCTATTAATTTTAATTCATCTCAAATCTTAACATATTTTTCTCTTTCTCCCTTTTCCTAATTCAAATGTTTTCAAGATCAAAAAGAGCATTGAAAGTAACGTCACATCACTATCATATAAGAATAAACTACGTGAATCAATTGAGAAAAAAAAATAAAGAAAGAAAACCCCCCTAAAGCAATAGAAGGATTGTGGAAGTTCAAGTTATTATTCTTAAAAAAAACGGGTTAAAAATAATGTATCTATATGTCATTTTTTAAACGACAAAGTAACATCTATTATATTGAGAAACATAAAGGTTTAAGGGAATGATGATATCTTTACAATTGTTCAAGAAACAAAAGGAGGAAAACCCATAATTGATGATGCAATAGGGAAAAAAAAAAGATAATAATAACTTATAATAAAAAATTTTCTAATGAAATTATATACACACACATTATTGAAAAGCATGTGATACATCTCCTGAAAAAAAAAAGTTCTAATTATTGATATTAGATAATAACCTGAAGAAGAAAGTACGAAACATATGGAGAAACTCAACACAAAGGTTAGAAACATGATCTTGAAAGTTGTAGCCATTATCTCATATCCTATATGCAACACAAAACGCTTTCAAGTTTTTATATATAGCAGACTCTATCAAACCACACAAAAATTTGACCTTTCGAAAATGAAAACAACATTGAGCGATTGTTATATCCAATTAGTAGGCTTTTGTTGAATATGATTAACATTTAATTAACATTTCGATTGAGTATTGTTTCGATTAACATTCTTTAATTTGTTAAAGCTTTAAGACACTATACAGATCCGATTAAAATATGATGATTAATACGGAAAGCATGTAATTAAAATTATTTTTTTAGAAAAAAATTATAATATAACCAAAAAGAAATATTTTAATCGATACAACCACAAGTTTTATTATTTTTATAATTTAATATCTCAAGATTCTCAATTTTTTTTTTCAAATTAGCTCTAGCA